TTTTCGAACTTGACCTGCGTATTATGAATATTCATCAGTTCTGTAAGTTTCAAGCCAAAAGGTAAAATGGTTTTCCACTTACTGTGTTATCGGTGCTGCATATATGCTGAAAAAGTGAAAAAACAGCATAAATTCCCTAAAAATGGCCCAATCATGCCGATTTTCGAACTTGACCTGCATATCATGAATATTCATCAGTTCTGTAAGTTTCAAGCCAAAGGGTAAAATGGTTTTCCACTTATTGTGTTATCGGTGCTGCATATATGTTGAAAAAAGTGAAAAAACAGCATAAATTCCCTAAGAGTGACCCGATCATGCTGATTTTCGAACTTGACCTGCGTATTATGAATATTCATCAGTTCTGCAAGTTTCAAATCAAAAGGCAAAATGGTTTTCCACTTATCGTGTTATCGGTAAAAGTGCACGGCGACGGCGACGACGGCGACGACAGCGACGACGGCGACGACAGACGCAGATGATGGCTATATGTACAGACACATCTGTGTCTGTACATAAAAACAAATTGTCACTATTGCCTTTGGTTATTTGAATTTGTTGATGCACCACTCCCACCTTTTCTCATATAAATTTCAAGCGTCAACATTTGCAAATGAAAAAAAAATTCCAATTGAAAGAATAAAAGATTTTAATAAGTATGCTGTGCTGCGCATGACCTATTCATACATCAGCCACACTCTTCAGTAAGGTGTGTACCATCTCTGGTGTTTTCATGTGTGGGTCTATGACCACTGCTCTCCTCTCTGATCTGGCCAGCTGTCTTTCCAGTTCACAGAACCCCTTATCTCCAGACAGCACTGTGAATGGGATATGTTTGGGAAGTACAGCATCCATCTTTCCAACCTAGAACAATTTAATACAAACTAAAAGGTTTCCATGGATAAAATATCTGGAGAACTTGGTGTACTTTCATGAAAGATTTTTTGAATAACAAAATAGAAATGAAAAACCCACAATAATCTCAATTTAGTACACTAGTGGTCACTTTTCCTGCCTTGTCAAAGGTATGAATGTGAAAAGAAGCATACTGTATTGACAATAAACTAATTAAGGTGGATGGTTAAATTAACCTGCAGACATATGGCAAAGTCAGCAGCATCTTTGGTCGTCCCACACCTTCCATGCAGGTGAAACCAACGATTTTTCACCAAAACAGAAAAGGGAAGGAAACTGAAATGGAACAGTTCTTTATCGAATGATGAAGCTGTTAGGCCTGAACATTCATAAAAATAATTCAATACAATCTGTATCCCTTTTCATTAGAAGAATAAAACAATCATTATAGCATGTTACACTCAATATTGTTAGGTGTAACAAATACAAAAAAACATTAACTACTTAATATGAAATGATAATTGGCATACCTGTGTGGTGGTTTCCAGACAGTTTTACCTCCAATAAATGCCCATACAAACACCCTGTCAGGTAGTGGAGCAGGCAGTTTCTTGAATAAGGCTGGCCAGTTGTCCAAGTCCAGAAATACTATTTGATGCATGGAAGACAGATAATTTGGATCAGGGTCTTCATCGGCTAAGGGCACTCCCTTAGGACTTCCAGGATTTGAAACAATTGTGTTTATTGATGTCACTGGCTTCTGGGCACCTTGTCTTCCCTTGCTGTTGCTCTTTTTCACTAATGTTGCTGAGGAATGTGAAGTGGTTCTGCAACTACTATTGCTTACACCACTGGCACTACTATCAGTATCAGGCACAAAGAGAGATGTGCAAGGCCTAAAGAAGTCACTTTGCTGGACTTTACATTTTTGTACATTTTCCAGCTTTTTCTGCAAGAGTTCTTGAGAATTGGGTGAAAAATCTCTAACTGAGAACCCTTTTGGCAGACCTAATGTGTCAGTGAGTGATTGAGACTTTGATACACTAGGAGTTTTTGCTGTTAACTGTGCTACCTCCTTGTCTTCATCATTTGGATTTGATTCAGAGCTTTGAATCACAGTGGAACAGGCTGTTGTGGCTCTACTTTCTGCTATTGTGGCTCTTTTGCACTCTGATGGGCTGGCTTTCTTGGCTACAGTATGGAGAATCTTTGCAACCTTTTTGGTCCTTTTCCTCATTATCCAACTTCCTCTTTGTTCTCTTTTCAGAAACCCTTGCAGATGTCTCATCTGAGTACACTGATAAAGCCACTGGGTTGGAAGCTGTTGAAGACTCATTATTATATCTCGTAGCACCAGGTGGGTAATTAAACCAAGTTCTTGTGGAGTTTATAAAGTGAATTCTGTCTTCCAAAGTCATTTTTTCTTCATTTTGCTTTCTTTTGAGAGTGAAATCCCTCACACCTTTGTGATAGATTATTTGCTTGGTTAGAGAAATTCTTCTTACAAACTCGGTGAAAGATGAACAGTTGGCATCTATAACATTTCCTGGTTTCTCAGGATGGCACTCATGTGATACACCATCCTCTGGATCAAATAACGCTGGCAGAAACTGCAGGTAGACCCCTTCAAAAATGTGGAGAATAATTCTGCCTGTAAAAATGAAAGTTGTGTACTTCAATAATCATCTTGTCATATATATAAGACATCTTTCTCACCAACTCTTTTTCACACACAAATGCACTAAAACTAGAGCACAATCCTTACAAAATAATGTAAATAACACAAACAGTAGAGCTTCATTTACCAAGGTAGTCTCCGAAGATGCAATACATTTCCCAGTGGGGCATTCAGAAATACTCTTTCTAAACTCTTTGTCACTATTGACTTCTTTCCCACAGTCTACACAGTGAACTCTGGTGCGAACCTGAGCCACCTTATCCTGCATACACATGTATACATAAGCTGGGTAGGGAAAGGGGTCAGCAGATGGGGATATGTCATCTGAATATAGAGAAAATTTTGATAAATATAATATATTTATTCTATATAAACATATTTATCAATTTTACACTAAAAAATACAAAAACAATATCAAGACACTTAGTCACAAGTAAGCAACAACTCAAATGCATCAAAACTTTAATATAATGGCAATATTCAATTTCCACAACTGATATAATTTCGTTATATATACTAGCTTCCAAAGAGGCTTGATATATGTTTAATACTTTGATTTCTGTTTTTGGAACAATGTGAAAAAAAAGGTTCACCTACAGCTGTACAATTTTCCATAACATGTTACATTGAAAGAAACCAATAATTAAGGCACCCTTACCTTGAAAAGCATAGTAATGCTCCTGATGATTCATGGTTTCTATGTGGTCTTTGCATAGCTCAGAGCTTTGGAATATCTCAAAGCACTGAGGACAGCCATATCCCAGCACAAGAACTGGAGCAGTGTACAGTGTGTGGCCCACAGTCTTCATGTGCTCTAGACAATTTCTGCACCTCTGTATATTTACGAAATAGATCAATCAAAATAAAACAGTAAATTAAGCAAATGTATTCATGAAAGAACTTCAAAGACAATTTAAAAGCTGATAAATATCTTGCACAATAAAATATGGACTATACAATAATGTGAAAAGCTGCAACCCCCATCAATGACTTTAAGATATTTTTTACCACTCTGCAAGACTTGATATCAAAGGCCTTTATGTAAAATTATAGACAATTGATTCTGTGGGAAAACAAATATATCACCTTAAATAAAACACCACATTCTGGGCACATATAATGTGAACGTTTAGGTGTGAAGTTCATGAAAGTCTTAAAAGCAACATGTTGAAACTGTTGCATATGATGTGAAAACTCATTCTGAGGACTTGAATAATTGGCAAAGGTCATCTCACAGTCAATAACAGGGCATTCCAAACTTTCTGTGGGAGTAGGATTGTCAGTGGAGTCATCAAGGTTTATGCATTCTATGGCATTAGAAATAGAGGTTTGTGATACTGTTTCAGTTACAGGGTTTTTTCCATCTCTGGAAGCTGTTTCCTTATGTGCTTTTAATGAAAGTTTTATTGCAAGTTTAAGAGCTTCATCTTCTCCATCAGAAACATCACCTTCTTCTATAAGCCTAAGGCGAGTCTGGTCATTGTCCCTTAAAAATGTGGACATTGTTATGCTAGAGTTTTTTGGTGTTTGTCCCTGCTCTTCATTGTCTTCAAAAGTGATTGTACCAGGAGTTGAAGGCTCAAAGCTACTTGTGGTGGGTCTTACTTCATCATAAACTGGAGGTGGGATATGTCTTTGTTCTTCCACTTGCCTGCGAGTTATTTCTTTCATCTTCTTTGCCATTCCAGCTTAAAAATTATTGGTAATGAAATCAATAAAATTCTACAGACAAAATCACCTTCTACATCAATATCATACATGCTAATTTACGGTCACATAAAGAATCAAAAGCATTTTGAAAGAAACCTGTAGCACAGGCAAATGCCTATGACTGTTGCTCCACATTGTATCTCAAGGTCTTATTAAGCACCCCGCACACGGTAAGCAATTGGCACGCGCCACTTGCGCTGAGCCAGATGCTTGTGCTCCTCAGCTCCCCGCAAACGCTGCGCTCTTTGCTCAGCAGAGGTGCCTCCCGGCCTGCCCCTAGCGGACGCACTGTGAACTGAGAGATCATGTGTTTAAGGAAACATTACATATTGTTGTTTTTTCTGATAGTAATGGAAAATGGTGACCACGTTAATCAATCAGACTAACTATAACTGTGTACATTTTGGTTGACTTTGCTGGGGGCTGCCATTTTTGTTTGTTTCCGGCTACCGGCACATGCGCATTGTTGGCATGACTTAAGCAATCGGCGCCTGCACCCCGCACACGCTGAGCCATTTGCCTCAAGAGACCAAAAATATCAAACACGTGAGATATTTTGCTCAGCCGCGCGAGAGGCAAAAATCTCACCAAAATACCCCCACAAACGATGAGAAAACGGCGCAGCGCAAGTGGAGCGCGCCAAATGCTCACCGTGTGCGGGCCCCTTAAGATAACAATTTTAAGCTTAGACAAATCTCAAGACCAACCTGAATTTGAGAGCCAAGTTTGAACATCTGTCCTCGCTTGTACCAGTTCTGGGTTATTTGCCACTGAATTTGTTATATAAGCACTGTGGGCAAGTTCTACCTCTCTTTGCACTTTTCTTCTCTTAATCTATTAGGATAGAAAGGAAACCATTTATGAAACTACATTGATATTTCAGAGCATTCAAAATAGAGTTTTAATCAGGACAGGAAAAAACATCCCTTTTGTGGCGTGATAATGTATTAACTAAAGTTATAAATTAAATGGTGTTAACAACATACCTTAAAATTATTTTACAATTAAAGAAACACAAACCCATTTACTTTGGTCTATTTTTGGATTTACTATTAAGACTATGAAGACCATGAATATGAAATGTTACATCCTCACATGTGCATACCTTCAATAACTGAACTTAAAATCAATCTGAATGAAAACACAAACATCACTTTGAAGTAACACTTAGATATGACTTGTGAGTGAATGTTTTTATTGTCTAGTAGAATTATGTAGAATGAGAAATATGAATAACTCTGATACTGGAACATACATTATCCATTGTACCTACACTGTGGTCTCAACCCGAGAGCTTTCATTATGCAGGTAATGACCTGGATGGATTAGTCACCTGACCTATTGTCATACAGCTAGGGAAAGTCTCCTAGTAATCAAGATCTTGCACCTTGTGAACATACATTAAAAAGCCACCCATAAATTTAGGATATCCTGAATAGAGGTTTGTGAAAGCCAACAAAAAGAAAGTCAAAAAGCGCATTCACCAACTCTGGAATGAGTGTAATGTACCTCACATATATAAGTGTGTATAAGTAACTACTCCATACATAACTGCACTACATGACAAACTGAAAGGCCATTTGGGATCTCAATATCATTCAAACCCATAAACACACTCTGAGAAAAAAAAAGTGAAGACAAACCCTGGAAAGGAAATAAATCCAATGTTGTGTATGATGCTGTATGTGATGAAACATACACTGGAGGAACAAAATATTCTAAAGCATCAAAAAAAGAGGTTTGTGATACTGTTTCAGTTACAGGCATTAAAATAACACAGAAGGTGAACTCCAAAACAGTAATTTTTCCAACACATCAGAGACATTGGTCACTTAATAGATGAGAAGGACTTCACCATTCAGGAGGGAAACTGGAGCAAACATGGCATCAAAGAAGCTATCCAGGAACAGGTGGAAAACACAGAAATGAGGCCTTAGGTTTTACATGTATCTCTTGCACACATGGAACAGGGTGCTAGAGATTATTCCTAGTCATATGCCAATAGATCATGTGACAAGTCTATCCAGGTCATTACCTACTGAAGGTCACAGGTTGAGACCACCACTTTGGTCAGTTGCTAATGTAAGTTCCAGTATCAGAGTGATACATTTCTCAAACTTCACAAATAATAAATTGTGATGCCCAGAAGGGGATTCACAAAATGCCAGCATATCACAGTTTGTATTCATCTTGTGCATGTATCCTCCAGATATCCAATAATATGGTCAAATATAAGCTGAACACATAAACATTTTAAAGTCATCTTTAAAAATTAAAATTTACAGTGCCTTAATTGATTCAAAGAAAGCCCTGTCATACATACATAAGCTGATATGCAGGTACTAGTATAAATAGGTTGGTCCAGCACAAAGATTTTCTAACTAGGCTGACACGCCGTGTTAGTACAGTGACAAGCAAGGTAAGGCCTTTAAGTTTAAGTGAGCTTGAAGCCATATAAGTTTAACCAGTACCCTTTCTTGCATATCCCTTTTCTGCTGACTTACTGTCTCGGCAGATTTGTCAAAAGCAGATTGCTGCTCTTTTCCTTGTCCTGACATAAAGCCTTTTTATTCCTGAAAGTGAAAAAACTGAAAGTTATAAACTGAAGAGATTGTATGAACAATTAACGTACTACTATTCAAACAAGCCTTACACTTGCGTTTCCCTCCTTACTGTGCGTTTTAATTTTACTTTTTTTAGATCAAGATAGATCAGTGTAAAATCAAAGCAATATTTTCTTTAGTAAGCGCTATTTATTATTTATATACGTTTAACTACTGAATCTTCCCAATAGAACAGTAATTAAATATTCGGTCCTTCTTTTTTTCGAACTTTTATCGAACTTAAACACAGCACAATACTTACTTTCCAACTTGAAATCTTTTTTACATTTCGCTCTTCTGTTAACTCTCGTGTAAGTCTCGATTGCGAGACCTTCCCAATTTGCGCCAATCACAGTTGTTTGCGGTTGTCAGTGCGAGACTGTTGTAAATGTGAGAGTGCAGTTTTTGCAAGTTGGGGGAAAAGCACAAAATGGAATGTTTGATAGGTATTCAAGGCAAAGATTTCGTTGTCGTCGCGGCAGATATGAAGTCTGCACGAAGTATACTGACAATGAAACACGGTAAGCGTTTAAGTGTCACTGGAATGGCATGCGTAAAGCACCTATGAGGCTAATGGCTTAGTTCCTTTGTGAATTTGGTCGTTGTCAAAATATCGAATATCGCAGTGTCTGTAACTATGTACTATAGCACATTTCTGTTTATGAGTCTGGAAGATTTCTGAAATTTAAATAAAATATCATTCCGATACTCTCTGACTCATGAATTAGTGAGGTCAATAACTACATATCTTTAAATATCCCTACTATTTCATACCTCACTCTTGATTTATCTAGACCAAGACAAGATGTTCCAGTTAAGTAGCAAACTGATGATGTTAGTCTGTGGGGAATCAGGAGACACAGTACAATTTGCAGAATATATTGCTAAAAATATACAGCTTTATAAAATGAGGAATGGTAAGTACATATTTTTTAAAGTTAATCCAATAATTAGCCTTCATCTCCCCTGTTTACTTTTTTTATTAACTGTTAGACTACAATCTAATGGTAAAAGTAAAGGGAGGGTAAGAGTACTTATCTGTTTACACCCTTACTGTACTGTAGAGCCCTTTCAAGTTTTTCCCATACTCCCAACCATCTCACTATGTCACTCACTTCTATATTTCAGCAAATAAATGCAATGAATTGATGTGTCAAAAGTAATCAAGTTTACCCCTTTCTGATACCAAATGATTTTCGCACTTTTTGATTGTGATAATTTTGAGAAAATCTTTCAGCTTGTTGTTTCACTTCAATCCCTGGNCTATATTTTGCTTTTATATCACCCTATTTTATTTGAGATTACCCTTTCCTGTGTTTACTTGCAACTGGACTTGTGTTATCAAGTGTATTGCGCTGTGTTGTGCTGTATTGCAGTGTATTGCGCATTTCAGTCACACCCCCTTTCTGATACCAAATGATTTTCGCACTTTTTGATTGTGATAATTTTGAGAAAATCTTTCAGCTTGTTGTTTCACTTCAATCCCTGGCATCCATCTGCCTAGCACAAAATTCATGTTTGATTCTAGCAAACTTAAAATGGACAAAACCAGACTAGAAGGTCATTCAGAGAATTAAGGGAAATTGTATTGACTTAACCATGTGTTATAACTGAATACTAGTTCATGAGTGTTTATTTATGTACATAATTTTTTTTCTAAAGATCTTTAGTGATTTAATTTGCTTGTAATGTTTTTTCTTTTCAGGATATGAATTATCACCACATGCCGCAGCTAATTTTACAAGGAGAAATTTGGCAGAATATCTCAGGAGTCAGGTATGTAGATGCTGAAATTATGAGAAGTTTGATAGGTATTGTGTTGAAAGATGATGTAATTGTAATAGATATTTGTTGAATTCAGACAATAAGAAAATCTATCTAAAAGCATAATTTTAATCAGTTTCCCTCCATTAAGATATACTTCTACAAAGCAGGGTGTAATAAATGTATAGTGAAAAAAAATTAGCATGAGAATTGCACTGTGGATTTTAGTTAATTGATAAAAATTCTTATTATTAATTATAGACTCCATACATGGTGAATCTGTTGCTGGCAGGTTTTGACGAAGAAAGTGGACCTGCTCTGTACTACATGGACTACCTGGCCTCCATGAACAAAGTGCCTTTTGCATTACATGGTTATGGCTCTTTCTTTGCTCTTAGTATCATGGACAGGTATTACAAAGAAGGTGGGTAGTTATCTCTATTCATGTGCTCCGCATTTGACATATATAAATCAACTATTTCATTTCCCTATTTGTGTATTTTTTGTTGTTTATCATCAATTTAGACAAATGAAACATAAAATAACTTTGTTTTTATTTTGTCATGAAAAAGTTACACCCTTTAGTGTATTATAGTTAAAGACTGAAGGAAGTTGGATATAATTATATTTTCAGATCTCACACAGGAAGATGCAGTAAAGCTTGTACAAAGATGTGTTAATGAGGTAAATTGATTGAGAGACTGAAAAATGAATTTCAGCAAGTTATAGTGATGCTAAATCATAGGGACATGTAATGATATTTAGGTTATTTCAAATCCTGTGCATCATGGGCTCGAAATAGGACATAACATTTTTGACTTACTTAGCGGATAACAGTTCGTGTCAGATTTATTAAACTTAAAGGTTGCGCAAAGTCCACATAATGACCTGTTAAACGATTTATTCGTCGACGTTAGGTATCTACATATTATAAGTAAAGTCTTTAACTCTCCAAAACTACGTCCGTCTCCATGCTCCGTCTATCTCAGTCTCCTTCTCTTCTCCCTCTCTTCTCCCTCTCTCTTCCTCTTGGCTCCCTAGGTATCAGTTCCAATTGCTTATATACTTATATATTTCTTATCTATGGTCGATGCACGCAAACTTTAATTACTTATAATTGTATAATTAATTTCTTTGCCTCAGCGTTATACAAAGAGGCCACCACATTACCCAAAAACTATTGGACCACAACACTTTACATCATATGACCTCATAAGATATCTTTTTTATCTTTATGTTGGACATGACATATTGGCCTCAAAAGATTGTCTGTATCTCCAAAGACACCTGTAGGGCTTACAAAATTTTTGGGAAATGGCAGGTTGGTTGGTTGGACTTGTTTGGGTTGAACTCCCTGTAAATCGATGACCAAATTACAGATTCACATTTTGGATTCCCTGTACCCCGAATCTTGGGGAAACAACTGCCTAGGATGAATGATTTCACTTCTTTTGAAGTGTCTTTTGTGTCTTTCAGATCAACAAAAGGTTTCTTGTAAATCTACCAGCATTTAAAGTCAGAGTGATCAACAAGGATGGCATTCAAGACCTACCTGATGTGAAACCAGTGCTGTCAACATCTTAGTAACCAAATGTGGAATAATAAACTTTAAAACAACAGAAAATTAAATGCAACAACATTGCAGATGACACCCAAAAAACTGTTCGCCTGTAGTTGTTTATCCATGATGTTCATATAGTTATCATGTTGAATGATGAGGACTAGACTGCACAGTCAGATTGAAGTTCATCTTGTACATGGACCAAACAGTTAAAAGGACTACGTTCAGTTTTATGTGTACAAGTCAGAAAAATGTGACAAATTTATTGTAATCAACTATGGTCATGACTAAAAGAAGCATCTTGTAAAAACTAATGAGATATTTATGTCAACTGTACAGTCATTTTCATTCACAAAAAAAAAAAAAAAAAAAAAATGAAAATAAAATATATTATTGAAGACATAAGCTTTGAGAGTTGAAAAATTAAATTTGATAATATGCCTGCAAACAAGAAAACTTATTTAATGCTTAGCATTGCAAATATAAACAAAGTTATCCCAAATAGGAATAAGAAAAAAAAATCAAACATTGAGATTTTTTAGGTACAAAACATTTTCGTCCCCCGACAATACCTGTGTACATTAGGTCACCCACTAATATTAAGTTTATTGTGCTTCCCATGGATAATGTATTAATATTCCTGGTTGACATTTTAACCATTGTCACAATGTCCCATGAGGCCATGATGTACTGTATTACATGCACTGCCAGTGCAAGTCTGGTCAGCTACTAATTTAGCAGTTGTTAATAAAACTCATGATATTGTGATTACTTTTTGTTGAATGTCTGGCCATTATCGCACTGTTCAAACAGAACGAGGGTTCATGGAAGTAGGCTTCTAATAAAATACCAAGATATAATTTTGCTAGGGGATAAAAGATGCAAGTAGTAAAGAAGTGTGGGTGAAATGCTCTATTTTGACCCAGTATCCTTGACCTTATGCCTTCTAACCTTTCCCCAAACTTTAAAAAAGCTTTAGGTAATGAGGTTCCCCAGAATACTGGAACTCATTAAACAGCTGTAGTGCGGATGCAGACAATGCAAAAGTAACCTACAAGGTTTGAGATGATATTTTGAGCATAAGAGCACATTTTAATGAAAAATAATTTCCCAAATCAGCATGTCTCTGTGAAGGTCTGTGGTTTTCGTCAGTTGTTTGGTTTTCGGGGTTGATTTTGCAGCACTGAATATGTGAAAGGCGTTTTATTGAGCCCAAATGAGTATCGTTTGGGAAAGCGAAATAATCATTTTGTTTGAAGACACCCCACCAAGCCCAACATGAGATCATGAGGTTTAACGAAAACGAGGGCATGTGGTGGAGAAAAGTACACGTTTCATTTGATTGGATACTTTAGGTCATATGATACCTTTTTGAAAGACTTCCGTCGACGAACAGACAGACTGGCACAGGTCTCATTGAATTTTACGAGCCGGTAAGTTTTATTGCAGATCATTGTTGAATTAAAAATGTAGAGTCACCCATGACCGATGCTTATACAGAAAGAACAGTGACCTAATAAATATCACAAAGTGAAAGACATTGTACACCATTTGGGCATTTTAAATGCGACTTCATTCCTGGGGATCGGACTTCACACAGTCATCTCTGCGTTTTTTGTATGAATTTATTTGTCACACATGTATTCCGATTGCTCTCAATATACCATGCCAGCGTAATATCACAGCGCTACAAGTAAATGTTTTTCAAGGTTTTATAAAATTTATTTAATGTTCCATTTCATTTTAACATACTCTGAAATCGGCGAAAATGAATGCAGAGGGAGTGACATTGACAACTCTTGTCGATAATGTGTAAATTCTGAATCATCAGTGCCAATCGGAAAATCTTAACTCTCACAACATGCATTTAGGGCAGGCAATTTTTGTTTTTCAATTTAAACACACTTAGAAGGTCATGTATTTCTTGCGTTTTTATTTTTGTGATTTTAGTGAAGGCGAAACTGACCTGCTCCTGTGTGGGAGTGCCCCTACAATGTCATCCCCACATTTCCTTTTACTTGTACTACTAACTCTGCACACTGTTAAAAAACAATGAGAAAGTTTGTACCCTGATATGAGAGCTCTCAAATATTTTTCTTACTACTCAGTTGCAAAATCACATTGTTAAAAAAGCAAACCAATCTTTCAAGGCATCGTCACTAGAATGAATGGGAACTCTTTTGATTATCATAGAGAAGCTATTTTATGCATGTACCCATGCACTAGACATATCTCCTGAAATAATTTTTTATGACGTTTAAAGGGTAACATTGTCAGTTAAAAACATTTGTTTTCTCCTCCACAGTGTATCATCTCGAGTCCATCCAATGTCTGCTGGGAGTGACACACACGTGACCCACTTACAATCATTATTTCTATTTTGTGTAGCCTCCTATCATCATAGGGAACATTCCCATGAAACTATCATTCTATGAAGATTCATCCAACTTTGCAGAGCCTCTTGCTGAATGCAATCAGATTAACTGAATGACATGTGACGTCTCCTTTGGTAGCTAGGGGGAACACTTGGCTTCTGGAAGATTTTTTACTTCATTTTGAATGCAACCAAGTGCACATGAAAGTTATTTACTTACCCCTCAAACTGCTTGAGGAGGCATGTCACTCAATTTTTATTAATATTTGAAGACAAAAAAAAAAAAAAAAAAAAAAGCCTACCAAGTCCCTGTCAGACATAGTTCAACTTAAAATTAGCATATATACAGCATGTGGCAATCCTGTCAAGTAATTAGTCAGCATGATTATTATATGCCAAGTATTATTGTTGTATACCAAATTTTATTTTTGACTCAGGCATTTATCTGATAGATAAGTTAGGATGTTTTACTCTAGGCAGATATTTCTTGTGGAAAAAGCATTGATTGAATGTGATGATATAATTATCATGTTACCAGTACCACTGGGTCATGGGAATATATGACCATCTCTTGTCCTCAAGGTAGCTCTACAATCTAGGCAAGGTGTACAATAATTGACACATTTACTTGGACACATTCCATAAAGATATGGTATATCTGAGTTTATAGTTTAAACATGATGTTATATTGTTCCCACCCAGAATGACTACCCACTGGCAGCATTACTTTTTGTTTCACTCTATTGTTTGATAACTGCTAGAATGGATCATTTCTTTCAAACTTCAGTTTTAAACTTATTACCTGCTAAATATATGTAATGGTTAACATGTCATCAGTTTTACAATCAGATGTTATTATAACTTATTTAGGAAGGCCAGATGACTACAAGCTGTCGTGAAATGTTGCAGGAATGACTAGAAGCTAGAAAATAATTGTTGTGAAAGCGAATTATTATGTGCAGTTAAGTTTGTAATGCCTGTTTTGAGGGGATGTGATAATGTAGGTTTGAAAATTACATACACTGCAGTTAACTGAAACAGCATGTTTACATATTATTTGAGAAGGCAAAAAAATGTACAAGTCTCATAAATCGTCAAAACAGAAAATGTCATGGATAGGAAGAAAAAAACGCATTTACAAAAAAGGAAGATATGTGTTTGAGAATGTCAATGGTAAGTTATTCCCAGTCACTTCAAATTTTTCTGGTAAGTCTTTCTTCACAATTACTGATCATCTGATTTTTCACATTTTCAGGAAAAGATCCAGCAGAAAAAATGGCGGTTAATGTGTACAGCACAAGTGTCACATCAGACAATATGAGCAGAAACGACTTGATAGCCTGGATAAATGACAGCTTGGATGCCAACTTCTCAAAAATTGAAGAATTGTGTACAGGTAGATAAATATGGTCCATTATTATTTATTGTTGTATTTTATCTTTTTTTCCATTTAGATGCAACTTTACCACGTTTCATAAGAATTTCCCTATTCACTGGTCATCCCAACTTATCCACTTGCACTATTGAAGAAATGTGATATAGAAAATTTTCTTGCATAACTTCAGAGTGCTGTTGCTTGACAATTTAATGCCCCCTACACTGGATTCAATGAAAATTACTTTGGTGCATATTATATGTCAAATGCATCATAACAATTTTATTCCTTTTGGTTTATCAGTGGATTTATGTCCATAAAGACATGAGCTGTGTTGCCCTTTTTGCTGTTCACAGGCACTGTTGTCATCCAAATGTATGGTGCCATTGAGGTCTTGTAAAACAGACAAAACGAAATAAAGATATTGATATCTTTAACATATACTTCAGCTGGTGGATTGATTAAATATAGTCATATCCTCTTGTTAAATGCACATTTTTTGGTCTCTTTATAGGTTCAGCCTATTGTCAATTTATGCACATGCTTTTCCCTGGTAAGTTATTGTTTTACTAATTTTTAAAACAAATAATAATTTGACCATTGAAGTGATGGCAACTTTACCAATTTTTTAAAGTTTCACTCCATTTGTAGATTTTCAATGAATGGTAACACCCAAGGGGGAGCTTTGTTAGATGTTTATGTTCAGATGCTTATTCATTACCATATGACGAGTTTAAAAAGTGTGAAGATGCTTTGTTAAAGAGAAAATTGTAAGTATTGGCCATAGTAACAATATGGTTTTGCAGTTAACTAGCTGACCGCTCCCCTTACAGGCTCTATTTCTTTGAAAAAAGTCAAAATGAACACCAAACTGGAGCACGAGAAAATAGCTAACTTCAAGGTGCTACAAGACAGCTTCAGGAAAATGGGGGTAGATAAGGTGGGTTGGAGGGGACCACGAGAGAAACCCCCAGAGAGAATGACAAAAAAATTGGAGGTTTTGATTTCTGGTTGCCATTTCATCAATAAATTGAAAATTTGACTTTATGACAGAGATGTTTTCTGAAATGCTCCAGTTGGCAAAACCTCTAATGCTGATATTGTGTTGTTATGTACATGCAGCTGAAAGTATTGTAAAAAAAAACAACCATGGCATTATCTATATTTAATAGAGTCTGGTTGACATATTTACAATATTTTCAGTTATGGAGGGAGAAGAAAGGGAGCACACTATTGGTACTAACTCCTCTTACAAGAAAGGTTAACACAAGAGGGACTCCTCTTACTTTCCAAACACTGCTTTCTCAAAGTCAAGTGTGGAGTTAGTCAAGTGTGTGGTCCCTCTCTTTGAATCCATGTTTAAACAGCTGACTGCCAGTGCAGGATGCATGTCTCAGATCTGCTGAGGGGAGGCTTCAGAGGGACATACTCAACTGTTATCCTTTCTGTTCAACTTCTATTGCAGGTTCTATTTCCTTAAGAAAAGTCAAAATGAATACAAAATTAGAACATGAGTATATAAATAACTTCAAGACTCTCCAGGCCTCCTTCACCAAAACGGGGGTTGATAAGGTGAGTGCGGTGTGCACTGGGGAGTGGACTGGGTGACAATGGACACCATCCTTTCTGGACTCTGGACAGTGTGGTAACATTTGTGAGAGACTGGAGTTATCCTTAAATATTATAAATTATAGGCTGTATTTTGGAATTAAAAAAAAGCCAAACAACAGTCATGTTAGTCCCATTTTTATTATTTTGACACCGTCCCATATTCCATCCTTTTATGCTGGAAGTTTATTAAGCAACAATTGTATTTTAGGACTTATAATCTAAAATGCATGAATACAACAGAAGCATTGTTCACCTGTATCTAGGTTCAAAGCATGGGTCCAAGGGATAGATGTCACCAACCCGGTTCAATTTTCTGCCACTGCTTGCCTCACTAAATTGGTGATAATTGTTGTGCACAGTTTTTCTAATCATTTGTAATAATTTGTTTTTCAGTGCAGTGTCTGCTGTAGTTAGTACTCAGTAAAGCTTCACTTCTTTTTGTATTCCCTGTTCCTATTTTAACCTAAAGTTTTTTTTCTTCTGTATTTTTCAATATGTATCTTGTGACAAAAATTAACATTGTGCAGCAAATTGTTCCTTGTATGGGCAGGCTTTGTTTAGATGTTGCTCGGTTGCTGGTGTTAGTATGTGCTGTAATTTTGCATTAATGTCACATTCCTATAATGTGTGACATAATTGAATGAGGCAAACAAAAATTTCCAGGTAGTTTAGTTGAAATTTTATTTTTGTTAGTATGACAATCCATTATCTTATAGACTAGAAAATAATTTATTACTGCTTAGCACTTTTTTTTTAATCAGTGCACCCTGATTTTGTAGAGTTAGTAGTTGCTAATAAAATCCCATGTGAATGCAAGATACAGTATAACCAATTAACAGTTAGTATTTTATGAAACAATGACTTTTCTTATAAGTTCTTATTTCTCATTAATACATCTTTGACTTAAAATGTACTTTTTCTTTTTTCTGTGAAACTTTCTAGATTGGTTTTATGAGTGTTTTAAGTTGTTTTTATGTTAACCCACATGTTGGCTTTTTTGACTATCGCAGACGAATGCACATCTCTTAATTTTATTCATTAATCACCTTTTTCATGGATATTGTCCTTTCTGGTATAAGCAAGATATAAGAGAGGACAAAAAAATGAAAGCTACCTTTTACAAGTCGGTACTTGTCACCTTGTAATGTCATGATGAGAAGTCTTTGATTACTAAGCAGTACGTTGACATTAGTTTCACTGGAAATTCCACTGTAGTTTAGTTATGAAACTTAAATTCAGCATGTTGGACAAAAGACCTGCATGTAATGAAATTACTTATTTGAAAGTATGTCTTTTTATGTACCATAAAAAATAGACATTCTGTGTGTTATAGATCATCCCGGTGGAGAAGCTAGTCAAGGGTAGGTTTCAAGACAACTTTGAGTTTGTTCAATGGTTTAAGAAGTTTTTTGATGCCAACTATGATGGCCAGGAATATGATGCCCTCAACGAACGTGGAGGTGAGCCACTAGGTGGTGCAGGAGGAAAAGGTCCAGCAAAAGCCATGCCCAGGTCTATGGCAAGCAGACCCACAAAACCTGTTGGAGGTAGGATTCTGTTAAGTAGCAAAATATTATTTGGAATGGTTTAATCTCTGGTCTTTGAAGCAGCTGTCAAGTAAGGGTAAAAGTTGCTACGGTANTGCCTTGTTGTATTCCCTGTTCCTATTTTTACCTTAAGTTTTTTTTTTCTTCTGTATTTTTCAATATGTATCTTGTGACAAAAATTAACATTATGCAGCAAATTGTTCCTTGTATGGGCAGGCTTTGTTTAGATGTTGCTCGGTTGTTGGTGTTAGCATGTGCTGTAATTTTGCATTAATGTCACAGTCCTATAATATGTGACATAATTGAATGAGGCAAACAAAATTTTCCAGGTAGTTGAAATTTTATTTTTGTTAGTATGATAATCTATTATCTTATAGACTAGAAAATAATTTATTACTGCTTAGCACTTTTTTTAATCAGTGCACCCTGATTTTGTAGAGTTAGTAGTTGCTAATAAAATCCCATGTGAATGCAAGATACAGTATAACCAATTAACAGTTAGTATTTTATGAAACAATGACTTCTCTTATAAGTTCTTATTTCTCATTAATACATCTTTGACTTAAAATGTACTTTTTCTTTTTTCTGTGAAACTTTCTAGATTGGTTTTATGAGTGTTTTAAGTTGTTTTATGTTAACCTACACGTTGGCTTTTTTTACTATCACAGGCATGAATGCACATTCTCTTAATTTTATTCATTAATGACCTTTTTCATGGATATTGTCCTTTCTGGTATAAGCAAGATATAAGAGAGGACAAAAAAATGAAAACTACCTTTTACAAGTCAGGACTTGTCACCTTGTAATGTCATGATGAGAGGTCTTTGATTACTAAGCAGTATGTTGAAATTACTTTCACTGGAAATTCTACAGTAGTTTAGTTATGAAACTTAAATTCAGCATGTTGGACAAAAAACCTGCATGTAATGAAATTACTTATTTGAAAGTATGTGTCATTTTATGTACCATAAAAAATAGACATTCTGTGTGTTATAGATCATCCCGGTGGAGAAGCTAGTCAAGGGTAGGTTTCAAGACAACTTTGAGTTTGTTCAATGGTTTAAGAAGTTTTTTGATGCCAACTATGATGGCCAGGAATATGATGCCCTCAATGAACGTGGAGGTGAGCCACTAGGTGGTGCAGGAGGAAAAGGTCCAGCAAAAGCCATGCCCAGGTCTATGGCAAGCAGGCCCACAAAACCTGTTGGAGGTAGGATTCTGTGAAGTAGCAAAATATAATTTGGAATTTTTTAATCTCTGGTCTTTGAAGCAGCTGTCAAGTAAGGGTAAAAGTTGCTATATGACTTCATGACTTGGGGGTAGGTGACAATATGTAAAAGAGGTTAAGCTGTTCAATCTCAAATTTGCTGCATGTCCTATGAGATGATGAGAGGTTTCCGTTTTCCAAATTTAGGAGTGCTAGCCTGCCCCAACCCTTTCTCCTGTTAAGGGGAGAAACCACCAAAATATTTCCCATTGACGACCATACTAAGAAATGCCTGCAAAACTGCATAAAGAAAATAACTCTGGGAAACATTTCCCATCTCCATGGACAGCAGACACACTGACATAACTCCAAATGGCAAAAAAATATACTGTCATCAACTCCGCTGTCTTACCGGCATCACTTGAACATGTGCACCCCTCTGTTTGTAAACAAACCACTGCACCACTCACAGTCAGTAGACCCTTCCGCCAGAGGTCTCACGACTGCACTGCACCTGTGCCTGGTCCTGAAAAAAAAACTGGCAGTAGTTAACACCCTACTCTGCTAGTTGATACCAAAATTAACCCTAGCAACACACAAGAAATGCCAGGAAAAAAATGGAAAAAAGCACTCATTTTTTCTCACTGAACTATATTCGTCTATAACAGGTGCTGATTGGTTGATTTGGAGGTTTCTGCCCTTAAATACTCATGCAGACACTGACACGTGAAGACCATTGTCAATAAAGATACATTTTATAAAGGAAAAGGCTGTATTTATTTATTAATTAATTTATTTATTTATTAATTAATTTATTTATTAATTAATTTATTTTTTTGATCACCAAATGCCTATCAATCAATTGTTATGTTGAAATATATCCAGGCTGAAATCTGAAATACCCTATTTAAAATTTAATGTTGCCAGTATCAGAAATGTAATTCCTCTTTTACTGCATTTACAGTGGTGAAAAGTACACCAGCAAGGGGTGCATCTGCAGGAATGAAAACGGCACCAAAAGCAATGGGAGATCAGTCACATAAAATAATAGAATTAGAAAATGAGGTATCCAGTAAAAACATGCAAGATTGTTACATGTTAAGAATGTAATTTCATTGTAAATACTTGAATACTGCCTTTAAATAGTTACTGTACATGTACATATTTTCAAATGAAATTGTCTGGACTTCTATTTAGGGTTTGACAAGTCCGTGCAATTTTCAATGTAGATAATGGTCCATATTGTCGTGTTATTTAAATATTGTTACTTTCAATTTAGACAATCTAACATTTGCAGATTAAGGAGCTGGAAACAACAGTCGAAGGTCTAGAAAAGGAGAGAGATTTCTACTTCGGCAAACTTAGGGACATTGAAGTGTTGTGTCAGGAGCATGCAGAACTTCCTTTAGTAAAAAATATTATGGATATTTTATATGCGACTGAGGTGAGTTCACAGGTCAAAGTTCCAAAGAAAGGATGGTTTTTTTTAAAGCTAAATCCCTCTACTTTTGTTTTTGTAAAAAATTGGAAACATGTCAAAAATGTCCATGGTTTTCTGAAAAGGAAAAAACGTTTGAAAAATAGTAGTGTGATGGTCCCAGAACTGAAATTAAAAGAAGAAAGTTGACAGCTCTTAACCCCCCCCCCCTTTCAAGAAGCCTAAATTATGATCATATTTTGTGGCAGAAGTTAAATGAAAATGTGGAAGAGATACTTGCCAATATGAGGAAAAATGGGTGTTGAGACTAAGTTAGAAATGTTGGAGAGGAGGGGTTTAAGAAATTATCAGATCTGCTGGACTTTTGTTGAATTTAAATTTGACATAAGAAAACCAATTATTATTATTTTTAATCTGCCTGACTTTATATTGTACATTATTTTAGTGTTCTGAAAACTTGGAAACCTTATTCATATTAAAATTAAGTTAGATTGAATTGCATTTTATATGTATATTCTGTGTATACAACATTCTAAATAATGCATAGAAAATCAGTAAGAATAGAGACGGCATTTTTGTTCAGAACAAGAGGTTAAGCTCACAAAGGGAAGAGTATAGAAAATGCTGCCAAGATTGGTTTCAGTGAGCGTATTGTTCCAATAATTTGTTCCTTGTGTCTTTGGAAATTTTTTGTCCTGATCGCTAAGGAAAAAATCTTTCTATCCATGTAATATCTGTATATCAAACAGTATGTTCCATTCTTCAGGATGGGTTTGCACCTCCAGAGGGTGAAGCAGGAGAGGAGGAATATTGACCACACAGACACTAGCTGAAACTGCTCCTTCCTCTCTGTACTTATAAGCTTGGACAATATATACATTCTACCATCAATTCTCCATTGCTGAAAGTGAAATTACAACTTTAATGGTACAAAGGGAGAGATTGGCATCATTAGAGGCATGGGATCTAAATTCCAACAAAGAGCTTGGCTGTCTTTCTATGTTGTAATCAGATTTGCTGGAAAAAGTGGAACAAAAATGGATTTTATGTGTGAGCAAGTGCTATATATTGGATAATGTTTATTTATTTACTTATTTATTTATTTATTTATTTATTTGAGGCATGAAAATTTTTGGTTTTGATTGGAGCTATATTTATCAGCAGCATGGTACACTGGATAATGAATATTCAGTCTACACTAAATAATTATGTCCCAAAGCTGGCAGGTGAATAGTTTCTTACATTATGCTTTGTCTTGGATGGATGAGTGTGAAATGAATAAGAACTATTGCAATTACAAGGTTCTAACAGAGGAACTCGTGATGGTACCTGGTTTTTGAGCAGAGAAAAAGTGAGAGCTTAAGACAATCAAAGACCATGTTTCTCTGTAAATGGTAAATCTGAAAGTTGAAAAGTGGCCTTGAACAACAGGTTTTCCTGTCTTAATCCCTTACATTTTAATCTATATTATTCATTTATTTATTTTTCAGAATATTGAAAGATAGATTTACAAATTTGCCAATTAAAAAAAAAGCATATAATTGGTATTTGTAAAAAATCTCGTACCTGATGTCTTCCGTACTATCTGTGGCATTTTTCTCATTGGTGTAATCATTACCTATAGCGTGTAGTTTTCCATTATAAATAACACTTTTGTATAAATCTCAGAGAGATCAATTTGTTGCTTTAATCTGCGATTAAAAATATTGTAGTACTGGGTCTCCCAGCATTTTACATGCAACTAATTATGTTGACCTTGCTTTACTTTTTGAGAAAAAAAGTAATCTGTTGCTTTTATTTCTTTAAATTTATTTTCAGTAAATATCTGAATTTGAAGACCAGTGTTACAGTTTGTTTGTGATTACCAATTATTGCCAAGCATAATCCCATCATTGGTAGTTCTTCATTTACAATGTGCATATCGCATGTGTATTTATTAGGCCACAAACCAATGTACAGTGTAAAAAGTTTATTTGCAATTAAAGTACATCTTATAATCTTATTCATGACTTTTTCATAACTGATATGCAAATGTAACATAACTGTAGTAGATTTTTGAAAGAGTCCTCATGTTATCTAGTTACTGCACTACCTATTTAAAAATTTTAACATGCTGCTGCCAGGACTTTAATGACTTGCCACTTTCATTTGCTGTTTCCTCACAGCACAGATATGACTATTAGCAATTTAAACTAAAATAATGAATCTTAATCACTGATACAATTAAAGCATTAGGTTCAAGAGGGTGTGAAGGCCTCTTCACTATCGATAGCAGCCAGTAAAAAGCAATACACTCCATAACCAAATATTTCTTCTGAATTTGTAGACATCTTGCATCTGCTCAATGTCACAGGCTAGGCTGTAACAGCATGCATTAAATGTAATACATTTCCATTAACAGCGCTAAAACCACATTTTTCACTCTTTTTCATTTTAGATATTAAGTCCATTTGTAAGCATCCAAAGAACTTGAGCAAATGTAATTTTAACTATTGCATGATTTTTCAACTGTCCACAAGGTGATAGAACATTTACTTTTATTGATAAAGTTTGATTTATATATAAACACATTTTATTTTTATTCATAGTGACAGTCCTGTAAACTTTGCAACAAAACTGAACATTTATTTAGCAAATGTGTATCAATATACTAGCAAAAATAAGAAACGCAAGACTTTTTTTTTCTGTTTGTCTATGGTTTTATGAGTCTATTCTTCCACCAGTGCAGCTCTTAACTGTATGATGGTGGTACGTTGTGGCTGTCATTTAAGAAGTAGTCTGCCCAGTTCATCCCAGACATGCTCAGGCGCTCCTGCTAGGGCAAGTGTAATGTTGGGTGTTGATGCTTGATTGCCACAATCATCACAAGTTCTGTCTGGAAACAGCCACACATGCCCAACCAAACCACATCACTATGCCAATGGCACATCCACTGTCCAGATCAGACACTGTGGTATAATATCAGCATGGAATGCAATCTCATAAACTTGGATTTCTGATTCCAGTGTCCACTAGCATTGATTGTAGACAACTGAATTATGTAAGACTTGTCCCAATTTGTATCCAGATGTCTGAAAATCTAAAGCCAACCAATGTCTGGAATCATTCTATTGTAGGATTGAAATGTTGTACTGTTACTGAATACAGTGACCATACTAACATGTGCACATTTGAGCATTTTAAGGGTATTGTGACCCTTTATTATCATCCAGATACTGAAAATGAGTTTTTCCTTGCACCTAATTATCTTTGTGCTGATTCAAAAAGAAAATTTGAGGGGAGATAGCAAACGGTATGGGGTGTAACTTCATCCCTGAACAAGATTTTATCACAAAAGTTGGCAGAGTTGACCATGGGTGTAAGGGCTACAATCCCGTGAGATCATTTTGGTTTAAATGTTTTTGTTTAAGAGTTATGAGACCCTTATTACAGATTTGCATTAAAGAAATACATTATTTTGCTTTATCAACAATAAAATCTGAACCAAGACTTAAAAGAAAAATGCTGGCAGTATTCTGGAGTACTTAGTGGTGTCATTAAATCGGCATTGAAACAGTGTTCGTGGGTGGGGGGGGGGTGAAATTTTAGAAACCGATTTTTTAGTTTTTACCCCAAAATCACAATTATGACGTCACCTGTAAGATGGCATGTGTAAATGTTAATTAATTTAGTCACTGAACACAGAATACTTATCTATTACCCAAAAGAATATATAATGTAAGGCTGTGGACAAAGGCTGATGATATCCTTAAAGCACTGAGGTCAAAACAAAAAGCATTTTTTTTTTTTTTTTTTTTTTTTAGTATATTTACATCACCCAGTATAAATGTCACTGTAATTCTTCGAGCTGTATGTAGGATGTTACTGTCACTGGTGGTAGTGCCTGCCCTTCAAGATAACATGACTGTTGGCTTTTGCCATTTGTATTCATATCTTCTTCATGCAATAGTGTCTGAGAACATACATGTACATGTGCACTCTTCTTGTAATTTATTAATGGTAGCTGCTGCAGAGGGTCTTCACAAATCTGAGTTTCTTCATCCTTTTTTATTTTTTGAACTGTCTGCCCAAGGGCCAAAGTCAGCTCTGGTTTGAATGCAAATTTGCTGTAATAGTCATTGTGTGCCTTTGTTGGGATACTCTCATTGACTGCAGCTTCAGCTCGTGTGTTTGAGATCAGCTGCTTATTACTGGAACAAACAATAAAACTTACTGAAATGTATGATGTTTCTCCTCTCTTTTCTTCATCCCATTCAGGCATATTTAAGTGTCATTTTATATAATTGTGCATTAACCAGTAGTACACAAAATACCAAATGGGTAACTGATGAAAAGTATAACTTAATATCTAATCCAAACTACGATATATTAAGTGTATTGGTTGTTCCTAAATAAACCCTCACCTTTCATCAAACTGATCAGAATTCAAATCATTAATATTCTCGTCTGACTTGGCCTCAACAACCATCAAAGTGTCAGGGTTGCCAGATGAACTGCTCTCCTTAGAGTACACATGGTATGGTATACCATAAGTGCTATTTTGCCTTGAAGGAAAAGTTTCTTCACTCACATGTCCACTGTCCACACTGGTCTGCCTGATCACTTGGAGGGCAGGGTTCTGCAAGGAATAAAACCACAGGCATATGTTTTGCGCCATGCCATGATACAAGAAATGAAGTCTCTTCATGTGTAGTAAGACTAACACCCCATTTCCATAGATTAGATCGACCTACTTTGGATCGACCTAACTCCCTGGGGGTTTGCGCTGAATAGCTGTCAGCCAGGCGGACACGAAAGTTAATTGCCCCTTACGGCTTGTAGTGGGCGGGGACGGACACTTAAAGGGATAATAACTCTTTGTTTTGGCCAAAAAATGAATTTTCCTGGAGTAAACAACAATTTTCCCATACTTACCAGTGGTTAATGAATCCATTTTTACATTCAAAGTTAGTCCCTGGTTTTTTTCTAAAAGGTTTCGTTTTTTTGTTAAAATCTCTTAAAAGAGATAATAACAGAGTATAGCCATCAATGGAGGTCACGTGATCTAAAGACAAGCTCAGATATCAGAATAATAGCTATAACTGCTGTTTTTGTCGTAAAACAGAATATATTATATTTCTATGAGTTATTCACAATGTTTTTATTGTGAAATATAGATCTCATACGAAGAGTTATTATCCCTTTAAGGGGGATTATCTGACGGTAGTCTGGTGAGACTCCCTGCGGTGATAGATCGATCTAAAGTTGTGGGAATAGACCCTAACAAAGGTGACAATGAAAAATACTGGAAAACATACAGTAATTCAATTCAATTTAGATTACGTTAATATTCCTTGTTAATATTACAATTTAATGGTACAAATGGAGATTACCTCAGAATCTTGTCCATATTTTTTCATTTCTCCATCAAAAGATGCTTTCTCTTTATTACACTTCCCTTGCTCAGCATTCTTCAGTGTGAAAGCAAAGAACACACTGTCACTGTTAATTGTAGCATCATCAAAATCAAACATTTTCTCTTTCAGTAAGTCTGGAGAGGAGGGAATGCCACAACCTGAATCTGGGCGAATTTGTTTCCTGTCCAGTAAGAAATATTTGGTATTATCTTCCTGTGAGAGGTAGAAAGGGCTTGCCACCTATAGAAGATAGAGATGAAATTTTGTTAACTCACTCATTTTCAACTCTGTTATAAGGTTTAGTCATATTTTATACTTGGACCTAAAAACAAGAGTTATTTTGTCCATGTACTTTACAAACATTTTTAATTAGATTAAAAAGCATTTCTCACTATAAATATTTACAAAAGTATTTACCTCATTTTCTTTTAAACATAATTCCACAGGTTCTATTGGATCATCTGGCAATGTTATCACAATCTTAGAATACACATACTTGAAACAATGATGCCAGTACCTAGATATAATCAGCAAAAAAAAAAAATAATAAATAAATAAATAAAATTGAATTAAAGATAAAAATTAACATTTTTTGTACAATGCACTGATGGAAAATCTGCCCCCCCCCCCATAAATTGGGATAACTATAAGACTGATGTATTCTTGTGAACTTTATTTTTTAATGATGGTAACATGATTTTTAACACCTGAATTTAAAAATACATTTAAACATAAATATTATCAATAGTAAAATTATGGCAAGCTGCATTTTCCCCTTTTTCCCAGCATCACCTAAAACATGAGTAAATCCCAATCCCCACCATGGTGATGGCTACAATAGTTCCCCCTGCAAGTCCACCTATCTCTGAATTGGTCAGACCTAGGTAAAAAAAACTGAATCAGTTTAAGGCATACAATATGCATATAATGCATGCTGGACCTTCCTCTAACAAAAAAAGGGGAGACTTGGAAACTTGTGCAGCTTTTCTTTTATCAACAAGGTTTAAAGAAAGTTATGCAAAATCCATTTAATTTACCCATGGTCATAGCCTTCTGAGGGGGCCGGCTAAAAGGACCTTTCCCAGCCTCCGAGACTGCTTGTATTCTGACACAGTAGGACTGCTTAGGAGACAAACCTCTCAGGATATATGAGGTAGTCAATTCTGACAGTACCTTAACAGTTGTCCACTTAGTCAAATCTGGAATGGTTCTCAAGGATTTTTATAAGATATTCTTCAAATGAGTGAGTGCTGTTATTACCACCTAAATTCCAATAAAACTGATAGATTTCATATCCAAAATTGATGTTATGTTAGTGATGTTTAAGGAATTCTGAATACTGCCTTTGGTTCACATCTTTAAGTGTTGTAAAACAATGAAATAAATTTTGAATAATTTTGGTTGTTACTGGAAAAGTATTACTTTCTCTATACATGATACTTTTTGAAATCATGTTTTCTTTACAGAATATAATTTGTTGATTTACAAGTAAAACAATCAGCTCTATGTACAGTCTAATCCCTAAAGATGATGTAACATACCACACATACTCCTATCTTTGATTCCATATTGAAGATTATACCCAGTCAACTGAGCATGTCCCAACTCCTGACAAGATGGAAGTTTCCATTCCAGATACAACTGGCCAGGCATGTGGCTCCCCCAAACCTTCAGTTGTGGACTTGAGGAAGGAACTGGCAAAAGGCAAGTGTTGAGATAATTTAAAAAAATGTTAGTCACAAGAAAAATTTGTTTCCCAATCCATTACCTAACTGTGATAATCAATAAGAATTTAGACACTTCATTTTAACAGGGATAGTGTACCAGATTCCCAGTCTTAAGATTTTAATAAGTGGCCCACAACTATTTCAAATATTCAGAGGTTTACACTGATGCATTATATGTTTAATCTGTTCCTTTTTTCTACCAGAAAGGCATACATGCAGTTGGTAAAATGTACCTGCCATATAATGATACAGACAATCTGTCCACTGTAACCCTGCACTTCTTCCTGCCCTCTCAAGTGACGCAGCATACAGGATATCATCAGGGACTTTGGTATCCAGTGGAACTTCATAATGGCCCCTTGAGGCAGGCAGTGTTGCCCAACTCATTTCTTCCTATAACAATATTATCTAACACATAGAACACAATGGGAATGTTTGCAAAAAAATTGTGTTGTTTAAATAAAAATAAAAATAGTGACTTCTCTTTTTAAAATTCCAATTATAATTGAATTTATCTGATTAATATTACAAAGGTAATGAATTGGGCAACATCTCTATTTCTTTTATTATTAAAGTAACTTGTTGCCATCAGTCTAATTTTTAAAACTTTTTCAGATGGTTGCTATTAACATAGCTAGGCTCATGATAAAAAAAGAAACACTGTTTGAAAACAGTGATTATTTTCTTTTTTCAATTTTTCTGTCAAAACAGGATATATATTTTGCCTTTTGCTGTGAATGCTGATAATTCCAAATATTTAATTTAGTCTCAAAACTCCAGTTATTTGATTTTTAATGTTGAAATTCTTTTAATTGTATATTGTAAACAGTATTATTGAATCAACAACCAGGACTGAGATTACGCTTAATCTATACAATTTGTGTTATCCAACCAACATACTTTACACATGTGGTCCGCTCCCCCTCTGCACCAATATACAGTCACGTTTCCTACAGTGGGGGACCATCTCAACATAACACTGCCATTCTTCAACATAGATGCTATGTTTTTCAAATGTAGAGAATCTGAAAAAAATGTTTGAAATGTACAGAAATGTCAAATATTTATAAGGTAATTTTAATTAAAATGCTTAAAATAAAACTCAAGATGTTAAACTAAAGAAACCTGAGAGATACATATATGGATAACTTTTCAACTTGAGGTATATATATATATATTTTTTTTTTCTTTCTTTCTTTATGTGAATTTTATATCATTTTCTTCAACATTTTCTGGTAACAATGGTCCTGAACAGAAAGAAAAATCAAAATTGTTAATATGAAAGACTTTTCCAAATGCTTGGTGCAGTGACAACAGTGAAAGCACCCCATTCCTCCATTCAATTTCCTTGAAATAGGTTGTACTGCAGTACTTAGTATATAGTCAGACAATTACAAAGAATGGCAGATCGATTCAATAAACATATGCAGAAAGCACCAGAATAAAAAAAAATTATATTTGTTACATATATATGTATATAGTTACCCATATTGTTAGTACAGTGAACTGGTTAAGTGAAAAAGATATCCATTATCTTCCATTCAATTTCTATGAAAAAAATATATACATGTATATTATATATTTCAATATACTTACTTCTCCTCAGAGGTAGAACAGCCCATGATGCCTGTGGTGAAGGTCCTGCCTTGGTCCAAGCCTTCAGCAGTACAGTGTAGTGCAGCTCCGTGGAAAGGTGCTTTACAGTGGCTTGAGCACCACTCCCAAAAACTTTCAAGGTGATGTTTCCTGGATACAACTCTAAGGTATACCTAATTATCCTGTTTGTGTACTGTTCTTCCATTCTCTGAATTCAGAATAGAGATATGTTTACTTTCTTTTTGACAACTATGGCTATTCTGTTTTTTAAATGACATTTTTTGGTAAAATCACACATCATTACTTCATTAACTGAAAAATTTGATGACTGTTGATTTCAAAACATGTAACAAGCATTGCCATAAGGCTAATGTAAATTTTGCTGTTTGGAAAAACAGCAAAATATGGGGATAGGTCAATTTAAATCAGTTATAAAAACACACTGTTATGCAATGCCTTGTTTCCTTTGGAACGATCACCGGGAAGTTCACATGAAAACTAGTCGGGAAGTTCACATGAAAACTAGTCGACCAAAAGTGTTTTTTTAACAATTCAAGTACTAGAATGACAATTCCATCCATCAAATGTCTATCAGAAGTCATGCAAGCTATTAAATTAAGTCATGAAAGTCACATTTTGCTCTGATTTACTAAAAGGCTGGTCTATTTTGCCCACACCATTCACAATTATCCATACATTTCACTGCAACTTAACAGCAAGTGCCAATTTAAACCAATGTTTACACATAGTTTGTTCTGACACATAATGTCATCTTCAGTTTCACTGCACTCATTTGGCTCCTCAAGGTGATTTAAAACACAAACTCCTATTATAAATTCCTGAAAGAGTTTACCTTCCAAAAAAAAGTTATGTGTCTGCACTTGGCACCACATCTGGTGTTGCTGTAACTCCCAGAATTAACTACAGGTGGCTCAGTTGGAGCTATAGAGAAAAGACCAGCACAGGTCAGTTTTGGTGACCCTAACGCCTTGTATCTCAAAAGTCAAGCATGCACAGACATTAGGTTGTTGATCTTGTGACACTGTGAAGTTCTCTAAATAATTTGTGAATCATTTTTTGTTTTACTTCTTTATTAAAAGATTTGGTGTGTATACTAGAAGTTGGACAAACTGGAAACTGCATCCTAAGTAAACTCGACTTTTGCTGTATTACATCACTGAACAATTTGAAAGCTTTTTCACCAAAATAAGATATTTTAAACTAGCCTTTGAATAAATTACTACTGAATATTTTTTTACATATTATAAATGTACATTTTATGAATTGACTTGTATTTATCTTAAGCTTGTCACTGTTGGCAGATTATAAAGACCAGTAATTAATGCCAGCAAGTATAGATGGTAAAATATGTGTCCACATAGTTCCACTGAAGTCTTTCCTGTAGGTAAATTGCATAATGTAAACAAATCAACTAGCCTTCATCTAGTGTGACTGCACTGAGTATGGCCTCATCACTGTCATATCCCCCACAAGATGGCACTGCTATTACAAGGATAGTGTACCTCACAGCAGGGAACAAGTTGCGGATAACCACACTGGTAGTATTCACTGTTAAAACCTGTTTATAACAAAAAATTTAGTTAAATTTTTCAGCTCTCCAATATAATGGAAGGAGGCAATTCAAAACTAATAATCAAACACACTTACAAGTTATGTATATTTCTTGTAAATTATCAGTTAGCATGTGTAGATGGTGTATCATGAAATATTGCTATAAATTTCCTACTAATTGAATGTGCATATTATAATTATCTATTCAATAACATTAATAATAATACCTAAAATCCACTCAATTTAATCCAGAGGTAATATACTCCATTATAACCTACATGAGATGTCCTGGGAAGCCAGTTTGCATGCCCAGTGTAAGAGATCCTGAAGTTGAAACTGAGGAGTGTTGCCAACTCCATTTGTGGCTTTTCCCAAGTTAGTGATATCTTTCTGGATCCTGAAACTGCTTTCAAGTTCAGCACTTTAGATGGTTTAACTGAAAAATGAAACATAATTGGATTCTAACATTATCCATAAAACTAGACAGAAAAGCTGACAAAAATACAGACATTCAACAGAAAAAAAGTAACTCAAATTGCTATATTTCAACATAAACAAGACCATCCCAGTAAACACAGAAAATCCAAATTTGCAATGATTACTGATACTTCCAAACCATGACTACACCTCTTGTACTGAGCTTGTTATTTCACACATTGATTCTCTATCTGAAGCATGTGTATAGATACAGCTCTTTGCTCTTATTTCACATTTCAGTTCATAAGAAAAAAAAGCTGCAAGTACAATATTCAAGTTAACAAGTAAAACAAAATGTGATCCAAGTTTAACATGCCACAACCCCTTACATGTTGGCAATATACTGGATAATAGAAAACACTGGACAACAGGATTATGAATAAAAGAAACATGCATTTTTACCAAACAAAGCCATTCTGTAAATGTGAAGTAAAACAAAAACATGGTATGGGCCAAACATTGCACAAAAATCAGAAAGACAAAATGAAAAAACAAAAGATTTTTAATAACTTACATAACAAGGCAGCAAAGCTGTCAAATGTACAGACAAAAAAACAGAAAATAAAGATGCAAAATAGGTCATTTTGTCAATTTTGATGCAATAATAAATAATGCTTATAATAGCACTGTCAGTCAACACTGAATTTTAATCATGCACAACAGGTAACATGGTCAATAACAGGAGCTGACCCAGAGATATTTTCTGACAGTATTCCAAAGTATCTATGTTGATCCATCCTCCATTTTGATGGTCTTCCAACAGAAAAAAAAATAGATACCGGTCAATATAAACTTGAAAACCTGACCGTTTTCTGGAAGACCCAGAAGATGGTCTCAATCCACCCCTTCAATAAGATTACAGTTTCAGGACCATGAGAGTTCAAATTCACATGATGAAAGTCCCAATATATGAAAAATGATGACAGTGCATAAAATAGTATTACATAGTGTTTAAAGACATGAATACCAATACAACTGCTTACGTGGAAATACAGAAAATATGCAGAGCCTCAGGTGGATGGGAGTTAAAAGTCACTTCTTAAAAATGCCAGTGTTGGAGAAAAAATTAAAAAGAAAACAACAGAAATATAATCCCAATGAAGCTGCTATTCACTGCTTCCTTATTATGGACACTATGTTATCTAGCAGAGAGCTTAACCTTTGGGAGTTTACAGGGAAATATCAACAAGTGTGCTTTATGAAATTTCATTTAATGACCACTTAATTAGGCAAATGAGTTTATAACACTGAACTTAGCCTAGTGAATACCCAAGGGGAATTTACAGACTGACCTTCTCAAAGGTCTTCAGGCCCATAAGTCACACCTTAAGAAAAGCACAAAACAATAATGCACAAAATAGGAGACTACCAATTCTGATGCAATAATACATTATGTTTAACTGCACAGTCAACATCAAATTTTAATTTTGCACAACAGGTAACACCGACGAAAATAAAAGCATAAGGCTTCAGGCCCATCAGAGTTCAAGTTTATACTTAGAAAGTGCCAGAATGAGAAAAATGAAAATTTCACAAAAATGCATAAATTTAATAAAAATGATAATCCAATAGAGCTGTTTTTTTAATGTGAGCTGTATGTCAACCCTAAGAATCATTCTTGTAAGACTAGTTGAAAAAATAAAAAGTAACAGTTTCTTTCCATAACGTTAATGGTGGCAGTGCACAAAGTAGGTTTTTTGTCAATTCTTTGTCAACATTATATAATGACTAACTGTACAAATACCACCAATTTTTAAATGTCTACTATTAAAAACATGGACATTAAGAAAATTTGATTACCACTGGGCTTCATGCCCAAGGGAGCTCTAAGTCCCACATTGAAAATTCCAGTATGTGAAAGATAAAAATTTTCACAAAAAAAACCTCTATAACTTCCAGAAAATTAACTAATGAGACAGATTTTCCAACTGAAGCTGTATTTCAGTCCTATGTTTCTTTCCTTTAAGTGTGAAAAGAGCAAGTGACATGGTTTTCCTTTCACGGTTTTTTAATGATAAATTAAAACTATCATGGATATTCAGAAAATGTGACTAGCCCATAGAGTTCAGAGTCACACTTTGAAAATCCCAAAATCTAAACGAGAAAACTGTATTGAAAAGAGTTTATTTCCATTTTCAACACCTTTTTAACATAAAACAAAATAATCAATTTACTGTCATTTTTATATGATCAATTAAAAAATATGTTGTCAAAGGAAAAATATCAGTAGAACAAATTTAAATGTCCAACTTGCTCCATTTTGAGATTCTTAACTTAGTGAATGATTGAATCTGACAAACTGCAATGATATGAGTTCCTTTCCATTTTTGATACTTTATTACACAATGCGCAATAAAAGGTGTACCGTCATTTTTATATAATCAACTAACAATATTGTTAAGAAACAGAAAATGTCAAAACAACACTTTTACATGTCTAATTAGTTCCATAATGAGACTGTTAACATGCCTAAAAATTAAATATGAAGAAAAACCACTTATATACAAAAAGGCTAATAACTTCATCAAAACTTAACTGATCAAGCTTATTTTCAAACTTGATCTGTATATTAGTCAGACTGATCACTACTGTGAGTTTCAAGACAAAAGGCTGATTGGTTATCAGTGTTGCATACATGCTGAATAATGGAAAAAAACAGCATAACTTTTGTAAAAATAGTCCAATCAAGCCAATTTTTGAACTTGTACTAAAAAAGTAACAAGTACTAAAAAAAAAACCAAGATAACTTCCATAAAAATTGCCCAATCATGCTGATTTTCAAACTTGACCTGCATATTATGAATATTCATCAGTTCTGTAAGTTTCAAGCCAAAAGGTAAAATGGTTTTCCATTTATCATGTTATCGGTGCTGCATATATGCTGAAAAAAGTGAAAAAACAGCATAACTTCCCTAAAAATGGCCCAATCATGCTGATTTTCAAACTAGACCTGCGTATTATGAATATTCATCAGTTCTGTAAGTTTCAAGCCAAAAGGTAAAATGGTTTTCCACTTATCATGTTTACGGTAAAAGTGCACGCCAACGGCAACGGCGACGACAGACGCAGGTGACAGCTATATGTACAGACACATCTGTGTCTGTACATAAAAACAGCATAACTTCCCTAAAAATGACTCGATCATACTGATTTTTGAACTTGACCTGTGTATTATGAATATTCATCAATTCTGTAAGTTTCAAACCAAAAGAAAAAACGGTTTTCCACTTATCATGTTATCAGTAAATGACGGCGATGCCAGCGATGACGGCAATGGCGATGGCGACAGCGACGACAGACGCACGTGATGGCTATATGTACTATATGTACAGACACATCTGTGTCTGTACATAAAAATAGTCTGAACAATTTTGATTTTCATAAAATACCTGCATTTTTGTCAAACAAAACCACTCAAAAATTGAAGTAAAATATAAATGCTGTTTGACTATAGGGTGAATAAAAGAAGTGTTGGATGGCTATGGAATCAGATACAGCAACTGCAGGGCCTTAGCAACACACTGAATATATGCAGTCACATACAGTGGCTGTATATAAAAATAAACCCCAAAAAATATAACTATATAACCCGCCTTTTCCTGTTACACATTCTACAATAATTTTGTCTTTTTGTTCATAATAACTATATTTGCCTATATTATAAACAGTACGAGACCTGCCACTTTACTTTGGATTATCATAACTAGCTAGGTTTTGGGCTGCATGTGCAAAAACTTGTATACACCAAAACTTACTCAGTTTTCCCACATCTAGTCGATGCTGAACCTCAAGCTGTCCGTAGCTGTTGTTGACCACCAGCACAAACTGATATAGCTGATTTGGTTCAAACATCCAGTCCATTCTCTCCTTAGGTTCATTACGTACCCAGCGGCAGCCATTAACAATAGGATTGGGGCAAGGATGGCTGTCTTTCCTGGAACTGACAAAAATTAAAAATCTAAGGTCATACATTACTTTCATTTTATCATTTAATATGAGGCCAGCATCTGGATAAAAATCTTTTGTGTAATGTAGAAGTTTAGGTGTGTTTTATATCTTATATGTAAAGTTTACGTCATCAATTATACACTTTAGTAAAGACAGAATTAAGAGCACATGGTCTCTCAAGCCACCAGCTTCTCAAGTCAATTATATTTTGTTTTCCCCAAAAAAGTTAAATGTAGCTGATATTTAATCAAGTAAAGAAAAAGAACTTAATTCAAAACAAAACAAAACAAACTGTAGTCAAGCTTTCTACATTAGGACTGCATGCATACAGTGCACAATGCTAACAACAGTTTGCTTAATTCACTTAGCACAGAAAATGATTTTCTTTTTTTTTTTCAAAATTTAAACAGCTTTGTGTCAATTTTGTCACTTCACCATCAGAATACAAGCACCTCACACTAAAAGTTAACAGACAGAATTTGCCTAAACATCACTTATATATGTGACATTTTTATAATGGCTGTTTTCACTCCAGCAGAGTTATTTAATGGCTGTTCAGTAACAAGAAAAACACTTCAGGAAACACTGGAAGGTTCACAGTGTGAAGAGTTTACAACAAACAAGTACTAATCATTCTTTATAGTTTACAAATGATAGTGGCACATTAACACATTAAATCAAAGTATTTCCTACGTTTGAAAATTCTTGATTTAACATTTAACACAATTAAGCACTATGCACTTATGTGAAAAAATCATCAAAGGCAGGTTTTTTGGTTCTAGCACTCATGCACCATGTTATCTAAAACTTTGGGAGCTATTTTTACATCATAGATGCAGAAGTTAAAAGTGAAGAGGTACTTTATCCCCAGATTAAACATCTGTTATGAAGAATCTGTATCCGGTAAGCCTCATACAGTAACTTTATATTTGTAAAAGAAAAAAAATGTTCTTTAGTCGTAATTTTTCTTAAATGTTGATTTTAAAAGCTGAAACATTTTGAAGGATGTAACACTTACAGGTCTCATTTATTTTCAGTTGCCGTGGAGCAGTTGCAATATATATATATATATATACTAAAGACAAAAAAAATCGAAAATTGTTTCTCAATTTAAAAATGAAACAAACCAATTTGGAATTTAGACATCTAAGTGCTGCAAAAAAACAAACAGATAGTAGTTAAAAACTTTCAACCAATCAGGTAGTATTTCAGCATTAGACTGATCATGTATACACCTTGCATTAAGTAAAACAATATTTAAAAGCAAGAGGGGTAAAGTACTGGTGTGAAATACTCCCTGGAAATGGGTTTTGTATTTTCAATAATTTTTCCATCATTCCTGATTTACCTCTTTTATTCAAAACAGTACGAAACAAGGCAATGCCCATGATGGCAGATGAAGTTTATAATGACTATCCAGTCATTTCAACTAAAGTATTAAACCTAAAATAAAAAAAAACATTGAATCCAAGTGCAGAAAAATCTATTTTGGCGGGAAAATCTCATGGAGTGTCCCTTTAAGGCATGCAGTAGGTGTTGTAGGAATTAGATGAACAGTGTATGGCATAAACATTCAAGATTCACTCATACATTTAACACCAAGTCAACCTGAAACCCAAAGTTGAAGGTAAATAAATGTAAGGTTGACAATAGGAAATTAAGGTTTGAAGAGGTTTTCAAAGATAACAAACAGCAATGTGATTTGCCTGCTCATGACCAAAAGTTCTAACATATTAAATACAATATAAAAGCACAAATGTGTCAAATCAGACCAATAGCTTGAAGTGTGCAGTTAAAAAAACGCTGACATTAAAACATGCAATAAAACATCTGTTATGCCAACATGTATCATCATCAGGAGCATTTCATCACTGGGAAAACGTATGTGCAATGTACCGGAATAAATTATCAAGTGTGAAAACCCTTTCACCAGCTCCACCTTTAGATGCCATACATAAATATTCTGGTTAAATTCCTTGCATTAAAGCTATAGGCCACCATCACTCGATTCTGACTCTGAAGGTTGGCTAAAACAATTCCACCTAATCACTTAAGCAAACAAGCACTATTGGCAGGTTAGTTAAGCAGAGAGTAAATGCCCAAGCCGAATCAATTACTTGGTTTACCAAAAAGCATGCTAAGCAGCAGACTTAAATTACTTCAATGGAATTGACTTACATACTGAGAAAATTTGCTCATGCAGATACTGATGCAGCCTAAAGCAAGGTGGATTTTTTTCTGTATTCTTATTCTTTCACAAGTTCTCAGGCAAGCAAGAAAGCAAAATGCTCGAACTTTTAACATTTCACATACAGAGCAACAACCTTACGTTCCCTGAATCTCATCTTTTTACCCCACACACGTATTGTACTTTCAGAATGGGAATCATCTGAGATAGCCCAAATTCTCAAAATTTAAAGTAAAAGCAAGATTTTGTGGGATTTGGAGAAAAGTGGGCTCAGAAATAGGGGCAGACTAGTATTTGCAGTGCTGCATGGATAGAAGCCTCTGACTTTATCCATGAGTATTATTCTCAATTTCTTATCTTTTTCCACATTTTTCTGATTGTTTTTTTTAAGTTTGTAAAAGAATGGCCTTTTGCATAACAGAACTCATTACTTTTGCAATATGTTTGAAGACAACATTAAAGGGATAATAACTCTTCGTATGAGATCTATCTTTCACAATAAAAACATTGTGAAGAACTCATAGAAATATATTATATTTTGTTTTACCACAAAAACGTCAGTTATAGCTGTCATTCTGATGTCTGAGCTTGTCTTTAGACCACGTGACCTCCATTGATGGCTATACTCTGTTATAATCTCTTAAGAGATTATAACAAAAAAAACTTTTTAGAAAAAAAACCAGGGACTAACTTTGAATGTAAAAATAGATTCATTAATCATTGGTAAGTATGGGAAAATTGTTGTTTACTCCAGGAAAATTCATTTTTGGGCCAAAACGAAGAGTTATTATCCCTTTAATTCCCAGTGCATAGAGTTTCAGCCTTATTGCTAAAAGGTTAGCCACACTTTGTGTGGATTCTCATGTTTTCTAGTCTGAAATGACATCACACAGCGCTGAATGTCTCGTTCTAGGATATCTCGAATTATTTTCTATTAGGAAGCCCTGCTTAGGTGAGGGTGAAAGATAATCTTCTTACTATGGATACATGGTCCAAATTAACTTGACATCATCTTCCTCGCTATGTCTTCTTTCCCAGGTACAAACCATTTCAACTTGAGCATAAACAGTACAGGTAAAATTACTGGGAGGGACAGGTGGATCTGAAATGCGAAAAGTTAACTTGAACACATTCAAAGTCAATAAAATTACAGTATCACCTTTCCCATCATACTGCTTTCAAATGTATGTCTATTTTTTTCTTTTCAATTTTCAAAAGATCTTCAAAAGGCATTTTCAATCTCTTTTTGTGACCTTCAGTGTTATGCTTATCTACAACTACGTAAGTCAATAATTTACTTTATTTTGGTGCAAAATATTTACCTCCTCTACCTCTTATCGATATACATTGTACATCAGAAAATTCAATGTTAAATGCAGATGTCAAGGTGTAAAGGTCAAAGAGTGAAAGCCAGATGAGGGTGATCTAAAAAGACATCAAAGGTTGAATTGACAAGAGGTCAGTAAATGTTGTCTAAAAAGGTCAAAGAAAGCCTAACTGTGAAGGTCAGGTGCCTTAAATAGTGGGCTAGGGATGACCTGAAAAGGAAGTTTACAGGACAATGGGAGTAGAGATCAAACAGTGGCCTAAAATATTTTGACCAATTAAAATAGATCTGTGGTATGTACATCATATTGGGCTAACTTTAACGGAAGGGTCATTTTTGGAGGGTAAAAGCTGAATGCATGGCTTTTAAGAGCTTTAAAATGCTAAACATTATGATTAGTTTCATACCTCCAATATGAATAGTTGTGTATGCAAAATTTTGACAGTCGTCACTTGGCATTTTCCTTTCCTCTGCTGACACATTTTGTCTGCACTCATAGATCCCAGAGTCTGCTTTGGTTAAATTGCTAAATGTCTCAGTCAGGTGTCCCGTGTCTGAGCATATGTGACGTCTCTTGTCATCAACCCTGCTTACACATAAAGGCTTCTGTCCAATAGTATCATTTGCAGTGCATGTCAGAGTTAGATTGGACATCACTGGTAAATAGGGGTCAGTAGGGGTAAGATCTGTAATGTATTAAATCATTATTAGCATAAGGACCACACCTTAAAGACCATGTGCACATTTGCAAAACATCAAAAATTAGATGAAGATATATTTTGACTTTAAACACCTACAAAGTTGTAGGTTTTATCTCCATATGACATTTTGTAAATGAGCAATTTCTGCTGGAGGTTCTATAAAGTTCGGACTTTGTTTGTTTTGAAAATATCCCTGCACGCTGCTTAAACTATTCAAATGAACACTCCTTAAAAACCATTCTGATTTTCCTTGAAAAAAAAAAAACAGTTCTCAGCAAAACAATCTACATGCAATCTTGCAGCAGATTGTGGGCAGTATTTTGTCATTTTCAAGCTGCCACAAGATTCACTGGCACAAAAGGACTTAATAAACTATGTTAGTGTTAAAGATACTGTATAAGTATAAAGCCCTGGAAGGCTTTTTCTTTGCCTTTTTCAAAAAAATACATTGAGCATCTCTTGATTCTATATAAGTTTTGTAGTATATAAAAAGTATTGAATTCATTAAAATAATTGGAAATAAAATGCACTTACAAACACAAGACCACACCTCTGACACTAAAGCACTGGCAACCATTGAAACCGTGTAAATCAAAAGTGGCATCATGGGCTGGAGCTGATCAGCACTTTACATCATGTGTCAAGCATCGTTACACACCTGTGAAGACAAAATTAACACATGTCAAATTCAAGAAGATAGCACATTAATATCAGGGAAAGTTGTACTTCAAGACTCAATTACATAACAGAATCATCATATTGGGGAACAATTTTTTAAATTAATAATTTTCAGTAATTCTTAGTAAATGCTTCTACAAAAGAAACAAATCATGGAGTTTGCATAACCTAACCTTAAAAATGAATGCATGTACCTCAATCAATTTGGCCCATAAATGAACGCAGCAGCCTTGTAAACAGGTACAGGAGCTGAGCCACCATGCATTTTCAACAAATGCCAGATATATATGCCTTAAAAGTTTTCACAAACAATTGATACATGTATGCAAACAAACTTGAAAAAAAAATGTATTTCAGAAAATTTTTCCTGGAACATCTCAAGTAGCACATAAACACAAAAAGATAAAGTTTAAGCAGGGAATGAGATGATGACATAATATAACTATTTTGAAAGATTTTGTTCACATAATTTTCCTTACAATCCAGTGTCAACTTTTTATGTACAGATGCAGTCTGTACATATAGCTGTCACCTGCGTCTGTCGTCACCGTCGCCTGTCGCCGTGCACTCAGCGATAACATGATAAGTGGAATACCATTTTACTTTTTGTATTCAAACTTACAGAACTGATGAATTATTATTATAATATGCAGGTCAAGTTAGAAAATTGGCATGATCTTGCCATTTTTATAATAGTTTGCTGTTTTTTTCACTTTTTCAGCATATATGCAACACCTATAACACATTTTAAGAGAAATCGTTGGCCAATTGTCTTGAAATTCACAGGAGTGATCAATGTTACTGAAATACAGATTAAGTTTTGAAAATAAGCTTGATCAGTTAAGTTTTGGTGAAGTTATGCCTTTTTTTGTATATAAGTGTTTTTTCCTCAAATTTAATTCTCAGGCATGTTCACAGTCTCATTTTTGAACTGATTAGATATGTAAAGTTGTTCTTTTGACATTTTCTGCACCTTAACAATATTGTCAGTTGATTATTTAAAAATGATGGTAAACCTGTTATTGTGTATTGTGTAATAAAGTGTCAAAAATGGGAAAAAACTCATATCTTTACAGTTTGTCAGATTCAATCATTCACTATGTTCAGAATCTCATAATGGAGCAAATTGGACATTTAAAATTGTTCCATTGATATTTTTCTTATGTCAACAATTTTTTTAGTTGATTATTTAAAAATGACAGTGAATTGATTATTTTGTTTTATGTAAAAAAAAAAGGTGCTGAAAATGGTAAGAAAATCATTTCAGTACAGTTATCTCTTGTTTACATTTTGGCATTTTGAAGGTGTGACTCTTAACTTCCATGGCCTTGAAGACCTTTTCATGTCACATTTTCTGAATATCCATGATACTTTTATTTTATTATTAAAAATTGATGCTCATTATACTGTTAAGCATTATGTAATATTGCATCAAAATGGAAAAAAAAACTATTTTGGACACTGATGACCATCAAGGGAAAACCACGTTACTTATGCTACTTACTGAAAAGTGCAGCTTGTGTTGGAAAATGGTGTGATCGCTTTCTGTTTTATAAGCAATGCAGTTCTATAGAGTGCTATATGATGGTACTGTATGGATGGCAGTGAGTATGAAATTGTCCCTTGGGTGATCACTAATTAAATTAAGGTCTATAAAGTCACTTGCGTAGTAATTAATTTTCAATTGGCCATTAAATGAGATTACATAAAACACTCGTTGAGATTTTCCTGTAAAGTCCCAAAGGTTTAGCTCTCTTAACTGTGTCACATAATTAGGATTTGGTGATAATTATGCAGGTAAATGTTGTTTGATATTGCAAATAAATTTACAACAGAAAAAAATTTGTGTTATGCCAACATTAATGCTATAGATGAATAACAGTGCCTTATTTTTCTCAAACTCAGTGGGGTTATTCATATCATGTCAATACAGCTAGATTAAAAGCTTGAATAGCAGCTTTATTAGAATTATTTGTTACATTTTTATTAAATTTTTTTAAAAATTATTTTTCAAACACTAGTTTTTAACTTACAAGAATGATTCTTAAGATTGAAATACAGCCCAAATTAGGAAAACAGCTTTATTGAATTAATATTTATTTATTTATTTATTTATTTATTTATTTATTTTTAATTGAGTTTAAGCAATTTTTTGTGTGAAATTTTCACTTTATCTCATTCTGGCATTTCCAAAGTATGAACTTTAACTCTTATCAGCCTGAAGCCTTAGGGACCATTTTCAGACCCTATCACGCTAACTGTGGATCGATCTGTCTCCAAGGGAATTCCTGCTAAATGCAGTTTAGCATAATACATTAGTGCATCAGAGTTGACAGTATCCTATTTTCTGCATTTTTATTTTCTGGTTTTTGTCTGTACATTTGACAGCTTTGCTGCCTTTTTTTTTTTTTTTTTTTTTTTTTTTTTTTTTTTTTTTTCAAAACACTGAATATAAACTTTTTCTAGTTTTCAGTGTTTTAATTTTGGTCAAATTAAACAAAACCAGATCCTTACTAAGTCTATGTGCACGATCTTAAATCAATGTTAGTACATTTGTACTTCTTGATCAAATAACATGGTTTAAAAGATGCAAACATGCATATCCTGTTCAAGTCATGAGACATCATCATAAAACTTTGATTCTCAATTTCTGATACAGAAAATCTGCAACTAGTTTTTTTCTTGTTATAATACATTTCAGATATACTATATAGCTTTAATCTCCCATCAAAGTGAACTATTGGACTTGATATACTGACAAAGACTGCAGGCGTGATAAACCATTTTCCCAGGAAAAACTTCATATAGTTTTCATGTCATAAAATTACTTTTGAAAAGGTTGTAGTGCATACATGCTTTGTTGATTACTAGCTCTCCTGATAGGCATTCAGTTGTCACATTCACATCCAGGCAAACTGAAATCAGACTAAATATCATGAAAGCATTGGTTAATGAAATCAGCACAAAATGTCTCATCTCTAAGATTCAACCTATTTTATAGTGGGAAATAGAGCACAGTTAACACAGCAAGATTAATTACTGTGATGAAATTCAGATCAATCCTGATGTTCTCTTTGGAGTTTCATAGCATCAGACCAGACAACTTCACTGGAATGCATGCACACTTACTTTTACAAATTTTACAGGAGAGTACATTATCAGCTCACTGGAGTGGTTGAATTCTGTGGTTGGAGCCAACACCCTGTATTTGTTACTTACTAAATGACTTTTCAATTTCTAAATGAAAACTACATTTGAAAACAGGGTGCCAGTATGAATGATCTACACAAACTGTGCATAAATTTCATTTGATTTCTTTTATTAAACAGAAAACCTCTTTCCATAGCTCTCTTCATTTTTCTGTAAAATAATAATTGTTTATCCTTATGCAAACTACCTTATCTAAGGCCATGTTTGGTCTGTTATTAATTCATAAAACAGGGGCGGATCCAGGAATATTTGAAGGAACGACAGGCCTCAATTGTGCAGCCGACCGTCGCCCCCTGGGTGTGGGATTCAGGGCTGGTTCAAGGGCCCCGAAATTTTTTTGGTGTTTAAAGAGAGCAAATAGTGCCCTTTGGTATAGCTTAGAACTATGATTTAGCTAGTCAAAATTTTAATTTCAAGAGGGGAATATTGGTGTGATATATTTTTCAGAAACCGAAGGGGGTGTCAGGACCCCCTGACCACCCCCTCTAAATTCGCCACTGTAAAATACTATCAATCTGGAATGAAAACAACATGTAAGTGGCCATTGCACATAACACCATTTAAAGTGGTATGATTGCATGAAATAATCCATAAACCATATTTAGAAATAAAATTTAAGAAATTTCAGTGTTAAATGGCTTGACTGTATCAAATCAGCGAATTATATGATATAATTCCCTGTTCAAATGTACTGTTACTAGAATATCATAAAATTGTGACAAATGTTCACACACCCATTGATATTTAATATCTGGTTATTAATTAAGACCACAACTGTCCTTTTGGAGACGACCTGACCTTTTGGGGGTAAAAAACACCTGTTCAGTGTAGTTGAAAGTTAACTTCCAGTAGGGAGCCATTTAAACATCAGTGTTGAAGTATCAAATGAGTTTGAGGAAGAAAACTTTAGTTCAGTTGGAGGCAAACCAGCTGAATTGTGCATGCAAGCTCAAAAAGACTGCTACTTCAGTTTACAGTTTTTCACTGAATTTTTTAAAAAGACATGAAGCATGGGGGCAGCCTTAACTGACTAAATATCAATCAATCTATCCATTCTGTTCATCATTTGATATTGTTTATGAATCTCTTACTCCTAAGGATAAAGAAGATATGGTAAAGTATAAAAGCATTCAACTGCATGAATTATCCACTGAGTACAGTCATAAATGGCATATACCCTCTGAGAGTTGACAGTTAATGGACATTCTATATTTTTGAACAAGTTTAATGCACATCAGTAAAATATGATCCTTCACCAAAACTTCAGGATACAATTACCATGTCCAGACACTGTATACCGACTGTACATGTATATTATACTAAGCCTTCAATTATCAGAGAAAAAAGGAAATTGCGCATTAAATTACATTTGCTGAACTTGGATCTGTTTTCAATTTGCAATTAAGAAACTGTTTTCTCTCCTTTTTGTATATAGAAGACTTAAAAATAAATACTAATATAAAACAAAGTAGCAAAGCTATCAAATGGACAGACATAAAAATGATAAATCTGACAGAAGCATGCACAGTAACAGTAAACCTGAATGTTACTGTCTAAATAATGGAGAATGTGCAGAAATAAACTTGCCAAGCAGAAATGTTGATTGGTATAAAACGGTAAATAATTCAATTGGAAAATTGCATCATCTTCAAAGTTCATGAAAACTGCACTATGATATGGTGGTGGTGAAAGAAGGGGTGGAAGTACGAATGTATACCATCCACACTTGCTCACATATGAGTGGGACTACATTATCAAATTGATCCGAAT